GGCAGATCCCCTCAGCTCTCACCATGAGGTCTCCCTGCTTCAGTTGCTGCATCCCAGCCTGAGTATTTCTAGATAAGGAGAGTAAGGCCCAGGGGTGGGAGAGATTTACTCAAAGTCATGTAGCTCGTTAGTGGCAAATCATGGCCCGTCCTGATTCATAGGCCAGGCCTCTTAAAGTCTGCCCAGCTGTCCCTCAGATTTGGCTCCTTTCCCTGCCCTGGGTTGGCCAAACCCCAGGTTTCCACGTTATGCTTTGGCTGGGCTCATTGCCAGAAACAGGAAGCCAAGGCCGTCCTGTATTTGGGCAGGACAGAGCAGGGCCGCTGGTCCTGGTGCTCCTGCAGGTGACGGCTGCAGCCTGACCGCCCCCTCACCCTGCCGCCCCACAGGAGCTGGCAAAGAAGCTGCACCTCCAGGCTCCGCAGCACTACCCCGATGCCAACCACAAGCCGGAGATGGCTATCGCCCTCACTCCCTTCCAGGGCTTGTGCGGCTTCCGGCCAGTAGAGGAGATCGTCGCCTTTCTGAAGAGTAAGATTGGGGCATATGCTTCAGGCCCAGAAGGCAGGGGAAGCCTGGCCAGAGCAGGAACAGTGGCAGGAACAGAGCTGAACGTTACAGGAACTGAAGGGCTGGCCGGCTCCATGAGGCATTCTTGGGAGCGGGTGGGACGGGCCAGTGGGAAGCAGTTGGTTCTCACTGTGAGGTTGGGTTGGCATGGCCTGGGTCCTTGGTCAAGGTGGGAAGGAGAGGCCTCCTCCGGCTTTCCACTTCTGGGCTCCACCCGGCTATCCTGACATGAGCCGGGGCCTGGCCTTCCTGCAGAGGTGCCCGAGTTCCAGCTCCTGGTTGGAGACGACGCAGCGTCGCAGCTGGAGCAGAGCGTGGGTGGCGACTCCCAGGCTGTAGCCGCCGCTCTGCGGGGCTGTTTCTCCCACCTGATGAGGAGTGAGAAGGAGGTGCTGGTGGAGCAGCTGGATCTGCTGGTGAAGCGGATCTCCCAGCAAGGTGGGTCTGGCTGTCCCCCAGGGCAGGTGCAGCAGGGTGGACCGTGCTCCCTGGCACAGACACTAGGCTGTGGGATGGGGGTCTCAGCCCCTTTGCCCAGTAGACACTAAGGGGCCCACCGTCAGTGGCCTGTGTGTGACTTAGCATCACTTCCCAGTCTGAGAGAACAAAGGCCAAGGCTGAGTGCCGCTTCCGAACTGGTCCTCGCTAGATGGACGGAGGCAGACTGGCCCAGAGGGTTCTCGTGATGCCTTCCGCCCGGGCTGCAGAGATCCCCCAGCCCTGCTTCCCGTAGGCCTGTGTCAGGGGTCGAGAGCAGGCAGGGGACGAGGACTCTCCCACTCCCCAAGGCCTGAGGCCCAAGGCCCGGCACTCCCAGCCATTAGGTCTTACACATGTCCCTGCTGTCAGGCTAATGGGGGAGTTCGGGAAGTGACCGTGGCAGGCATGGTCGTGTGACCTTTGGGTCAGGAGTTGACACGGGCAGAATGGACCCAGCTACGAGCCTATGGGGTACAAGCCCGGCCCCTTCCCCAGGTAGCCCCAGAGCTCTGGTCTGGTCCCTCCCTGCACACCCCCTCCTCTGCCTTTGAGCCATGAAACATTTATTTTCCCTGAGCACCCCGGCGTACCGTGGATGTAGGAGTGGGGTTTTCTCTGCTTGCATGCCTCTCTTTAGGGCTTCTCACACTCGCGGCAGAGCTGACTGTCCACGCCCCGAGCTCCCGTGACGCCCTGTTTATACCTGTGGGTGTCGCCTTCAGCACCCGAGTCTGGTTCAGACAGGTTTCTCCAGCGGGGAAGCGTTTCCTTGACCTCAGCGTGTGTCCCAGTGCTTATGGAGTGGGCGTCCACCGGGAACAAGACTCAGGACCACTCTCCGAGCCAGACCAGCTGGTTCCTTCACTGTGGCCCTTACATTGGGGCGCTGCTCCCCCACCCCAAACACCCAAGGAAACCTGGCTCCTCTGCCCCACCCCGGTCTTGCCCGGTCAGTCTCCAGGGCGTTTGGCCCTAGGTGCTTTCTGCCTCATGCTCGGGGCAACCAGCTCCGCCCGTCTGCCTAGGATGGAGACACTCCCGACATGGGGGTTTGCTCAGAGAGGGAAAGTCCTGGGCCGTGGGGCACAGCCCGGTGCCCTCCGTGGGGCCTTGGGTTACTCCCTAGCTGGGTTCGGAGCTCCGGGAACAGTGGCCCTCAGCCGGGACAGCTGGCAGTTGTTACAGACATCTTGGGCTGTCAGGGCTGAGAGCGGGGTGCTGAAGTGAGTGGGCACTCCCACCACAGGGACTCACCTCCCAGATGTTGGCTGAACCAAGGCTGAGAGCACCTTCCTGAAGGACCGTCCTCCAGCCCGTCCAGGGCCTGGGAGCTGAGCTCATGAGCCTCTGCGGGCGCTGGAGCTCCGAGGAAGGCTAGACTGACCCCAAAGGGGGGTGTGGCTAGGACAGGCCCCTCACAACTCCGGGGACCTCCCCCCAGGATTCCCTGGCCACCATGGGGCTGTGAGCACTCCTGAGTGGCCTTGGGGTGCTCTGTGACCCTCAGTGGCTGCCGGAAACAACACGGAGGACGTCTGCGGGGAGCTGCTGCTGCGTCTGCACCAGCAGTACCCCGGTGACATCGGCTGCTTCGCCATCTACTTCCTGAACCTGCTCACCCTGCAGCCGGGCGAGGCCATGTTTCTGGAGGCCAACGTGCCCCACGCCTACCTGAAAGGAGGTGAGTCCATTTCGGCGTGGGCCCCACCACATGCCCCTGGGGCCTGTTCCCCATCTGGTCAGAAGGGAGGGGTAGAGAGGCCTCTGAGGAGCTCCCAGGGCCCTGGCTCAGCAGGGAACCGGCCGCCAGTGCACTGGACTCGGGGTCTGCCCCAGCCCTGAGATCGTGAGTCCTGTCGTACGGCGGGAACATCTGGATCACACAGA